CCCCCCCCCAATCCAGGCCATCCTGAAGCACAAGCTCCTCTCGCCCCTCCTGGCCGCCCTCTTCCCCATCATGAGCGCGGAGCCTCCCCCCGGCCAGATGGACACGGAGGACGAGCTGACCGAGGAGGAGATCGAAGACCAGGCCGAGGTCCAGAAGCCCAAACACTTCGCCGTCCAGGTCTGCCTTGGGTTTTTTTGGGGGGAGGGGGGCAGCAATCTCTCAATTTCAAGCCCCCCCTCCCTTCCCAGGATGCTCTGGGCTTGGCGGGCTCCGCCTCCCCCCTCCCAGAATCCCCTGCGTTTGTGCCCAGTTTGCCGCTGTTTTCTAAGCCTTTGGGTCCTCAACTCCCAGCATGCCCTGGGCTCCTTTCTCCCCCCCCCACAGTTTAATTCCCAGAATCCCAGCTGGGTCTTTTGCCTGGGATCTTTTTAAGATGGGTGGACTTCAGTTCAGTTGGCACTTTTGCTCAAGTTTCTAGAGTGTGGAGTTCATCCGGCATAGGAAACCACGAATCTTGGCTTATTCCCGGCAGAGCTACAAGACATGCTCCAAAGAAACTACAGCAGATTATGGTTTATTTAGGGTCAAGTGGCAGTTTAGAGCAATGGGTGGGGTGTAATTCCATTGGTGGAGTTCACCCGGCACAGGAAACCACAAATCTTGGCTTATTCCCGGCAGAACTACAATACATTATGCCCCAAACAAAGAAACTACAGCAGATTATGGTTTATTTAGGGTCAAGTGGCAGTTTAGAGCAGTGGGTGGGGTGTAATTCCATTGGTGGAGTTCACCCGGCACAGGAAACCACAAATCCTGGCTTATTCCCAGCAGAGCTACAAGACATTATCCTCAAAACAAAGAAACTACGGCAGATGGTGGTTTTAAAGTCAAATGAGAATTTAATAGAAAGGGTTTCCAATCTTGGCAAGGTTAAGACGGGTGGACTTCAACTCCCAGAATTCCCCAGCCAGCTAAGCTAAGCTGGCTGGGGAATTCTGGGAGTTGAAGTCCACTCGTCTTAACGTTGCTAAGATTGGAGACCCCTACCCTACAGGATTCCCCAGTCAAATCTTCCTTTTGCCTCACCCCCCCCCCAACAGGTGGTGGACATGCTGGCACTCTACCTGCCCCCAGAGAAGCTCTTCCCCCAGCTGGTAAGTGGGAGCACTTTGGAGGGGGGGCGGTTTCAGAGTGATGACAAAGGGGGGGGCAGCCACACCTTAAAAGTACCCCTGTTGCTTTGCCCCCAGACCCCTCTAATGGAACCGGCCCTTTTGAGCCCCAACCCTTACCACCGCAAGGCCGGGCTCATGTGCTTGGCGGTGCTGGCCGAAGGCTGCGGGGATCACATCCGCAACAAGTATGTATTCTCCCCCCTCCCCCTGGGGTGTGTGTTTGGGATCAGGCCCTGTTCCGCTCACAGGTGGTCCTCGACTTAATGACCGTCGAAGGGAGACGACGGTGATAAATCGGGCGACACCTTTGACCCACCCGGTTTTACAACGTACATTTTTTGTTTCGTTTGGCGGAAGTCGTTTGAGCGAACGGGGCGGTGGATAAGAGACTCACTCCCATGATTAGCCGTGGGGCGGTTTTTTTGCTGGGAACTAGAAGAAATAATAATGATGATAATAATGATAATAATAAATAAAATAATAAATAAAATAATAATAATAAAAAAGGAATAGAATATAAAACAGAATAGAATAATAAAATACAGAATAGAATAGAATAGAATAGAATAGAATAGAATAGAATAGTAGAAATAAGGAATAGGATAGGATAGGATAGGATAGAAATAAGGAATAATAGAATAGAATAGAATAGAAATAACTAATAGAATAGAATATAGAATAGAATAGAATAATAAAATTAGAATAGAGTAGAATAGAATAGAAAGAAGGGATAGGATAGGATAGGATAGAAATAAGGAATAATAGAATAGAATAGAATAGAATAGAAATAACTAATAGAATAGAAATAACTAATAGAATAGAATATAGAATAGAATAGAATAATAAAATTAGAATAGAATAGAGTAGAATAGAATAGAATAGAAAGAAGGGATAGGATAGGATAGGATAGAAATAAGGAATAATAGAATAGAATAGAATAGAAATAACTAATAGAATAGAAATAACTAATAGAATAGAATATAGAACAGAACAGAACAGAATAATAAAATTAGAATAGAATAGAATAACAGAGTTGGAAGGGACCTTGGAGGTCCTCTAGTCCAACCCCCTGCTCAGGCAGGAAACCCTATATCAGGGGTAGGCAACCTTGGCTCTTTTATGACTCGTGGACTTCAACTCCCAGAATTCCTGAGCCAGCATGGCTCAGCTCGGAAACCTCTCCCTTTCCCCTCAGCGTGGCTGGCTCAGGAATTCTGGGAGTTGAAGTCCACGAGTCATAAAAGAGCCAAGGTTGCCTACCCCTGCCCTAGACCATTTCAGTAAAATGCCAAAATCATCATCAATTGTGGTTACGTGACCGTGCGACACAGCAAATGGCCCTAAATGTGGGCTGCTTGCCAAGCACCCAGATGGGGGTGACGTGACTGCAGTGGGGCAGATACCGGAACTTCAAAACAGGGTAGTTAGTCCATTTTTAGAGATCTGTTGTAGTTTTCAACGGTCACTAAGTGACCTGTTGTAAATCGAGGACTTCCTGAGCAGGAATAATTATAACCAATAGAGAGCTGCCTCTAGAGCAGGGCTCTTCAAACTTGGCAACTTTAAGACTTGTGGACTTCAACTCCCAGAATTCTTCAGCCAGCCAGCTAGGAACGTCAAGGGAATGTCATTGGAATCACTCTAGGCTTTTGAGACGAGGTGGCCTCGGTCCTGTGTTCGTGTCCTTCCATCCACAGGCACCTTCAGCCCATGTTGCAGGTGGTGTGTCGAGCACTGGCAGACGACAGCCAGGTGGTACGCAACGCTGCGCTCTTCGCCTTGGGCCAGTTCTCCGAGAATCTGCAGGTGAGCCGTGCCGAAAGGCGAGAGCCATTTATAATATTAATAATTAGGTTACTGTTAATCCATCCGAATAGAGCTGGAAGGGACCTGGGAGGTCTTCCAGTCCAGCCCCCTGCTCAAGCAGAAGACCCTATATGCCATTTCTGACAAATGGCTGTCCAATCTCTTCTTGAAAGCTTCCAGTGTTGGAGCACCCACAACTTCTGGTGGCAAGCCGTTCCACTGGTTAATTTTGCTCCCTGTTAGGAAATTTCTCCTTAATTCCAGGTTGCTTCTCTCCTGGATTAGTTTCCATTCGTTGTTTCTTGTCCTGCCTTCAGGCGCTTTGGAGAATAGCTTGACTCCCTCTTCTTTGGGGCAGCCCCTCAAATACTGGAAAATTGCTATCATGTCCCTCCTAGTCCTCCTTTTCTCTAGACCAGCCATTCCCAAATCCTGCAGCCCTTCTTCCCATGTTTTAGTCTCCGGGCCTTTAAATCATCTTATTTGCTCTTCTTTGCACTTTTCCCAAAGGCTCATCTTTTTTTGTGTGATGTGGTGACCCAAAACGGTGCAGGATTCCAGGTGTGGCCTCACTAAAGGCTTTATAAAGCGGTACTAACACTTCCCGTGATTTTGATTCTACGAAAACAGTGACTCCCCAGTCCTCGCGCTTACGACCGTTGCAGCATCTTCGTAGTGACACGATCAGAATTCGGACGAGCCGCTTCTCGAGTGCCCAGATTGTGATTAAGTGACTGTGGGAAATGTCGCGACGGTCCTAAAGTGAGGACCGTTTCCCAGGGACCTGCCATTTCAAACGGTCATTAAACAGAGGGCTGTTTCATGAGCCAGCTGTGTGCAGCAGCCGCCAAATAAAGCTAATACAATCCTGGGTTGTATAAACAGAGGTATAGAATCAAGATCACGCAAGGTATAAAACCCTAGTGAGGCCACACCTGGAATACTGCAGCCAGTTTTGGTCACCACATCACAAAAAAAAGATGTTGGGAGTCTGGAAAAAGTTCAGAGAAGAGCAACCAAGATGATCCAAGGCCTGGAGACTAAAACATACGAAGAACGGCTGCAAGACTTGGGTTTGGCTAGTCTAAAGAAAAGAAGAAATAGGGGAGACAGGATAGCAGCATTCCAGTATTTTGGGGGGCTGACACAAAGAAGAGGGGGGTCACGTTCTTCACCAAAGCACCAGAGGGCAGGACGAGAAACAATGGTTGGAAACTGACCAAAGAGAGAAGCAACCTAGAATTAAGGAGAAACTTCCTAATAGCGAGGACAATTAACCAGTGGAACAGCTTGCCACCAGAAATCGTGGGCGCTCCATCACTGGTTCTCCTGCTTAAGCGCGAGGCTGGACTAGAAGACCTCCACGGTCCCTTCCAGCTCTATTCTATTCTATTGACTACTTGCGCTCTCAAACCCAAGTTTTTATCAAGTTGCTGAATTTTGTCTTAATTTTATTTTATTGTTTTAACTCTTCCCTAACCGTAGCCGGACATCGCTCGTTTTTCGGACGACATCATGCCCCTCCTACTACATTACCTGGAGGGGGTCCAGCTAACCAACACCACCCACCTGGCGAAGGCTTACTACGCTCTGGAGAACTTCGTGGAGAATCTGGGTAGGACCCCCCCTGCAAACCTTGTTTCCAAACACAGGCAGTTCTCGACTTACAACAGTTCATTTAGTGACTGTCCCGAGTTACAACTTAAGTGGCCTGTGACCGTTTTTCCCACTTAACGACCGTCGTAGCATCTCCCACGGTCCCGTGATCAAAATTCAGCCGCCTGGCCACCGACTCATCTTTACGACGGTGGCCGCGTCCCCTTTTGCGACCTTCTGACGAACAAAGCCAATTCGCTTAACGACAGCTTGACTTATTTGATTCACTTTAAGGACCGGGGCGAGAAAGGTCGCAAAACGGGGCAAACCGACTGAAATCTTGCGCTTAGCGACAGTGGTCGTAAATTGAGGACTATCTGTGGAGCCATTTCACGACCGTAATTGAGCCTGGGATTGACGGTCATTAAGCGGGTCCTCTCACCTGGCCAGCCCGATTTTGGGTTAACAACCTTTTTTTACTATTATTATTAGTTGATCAAAATATAAAATGCAAAACGTAAGAAAGAGAAATAAAAGAGGATGGAAAGATAAGGAAAAGGAGACGATTCACGAAAGAAAGAAAGAAAGAAAGGAAGAAAGAAAGGAAGGAAGAAAGGAAGGAGAGAAGAGAGAGAGAAAGAAAGGAAGGAAGGAAGAGAAAGAAAGAAAGAAAGAAGAGAGAGAAGAGAGAGAAAGAAAGAAAAAGGAAGGAAGGAAGGAAGAGAAAGAAAGAAAAGAAAGAAAGAAAAAGAAAAAGAAAGAAAGAAAGGAAGGAAGGAAGAAGGCATTGACTTCTGACTACTTTTTGGTCCAGTAGAACCAAATCTCAACTTTTTACTTTTATAGAATAATATATACTAGCCCAGGGATAGGCAACCTTGGCTCTTTTATGACTGGTGGACTTCAACTCCCAGAATTCCTGAGCCAGCCACACTGAGGGGAAAGGGAGAGATTTCCAAGGTGAGCCATGCTGGCTCAGGAATTCTGGGAGTTGAAGTCCACGAGTCATGAAGGCCATAGTTCCCCCATGCTGACTCAGGAATTCTGGGAGTTGAAGTCCACGAGTCATAAAA